CTAGCTTAACTTTTGCTTACCTCTAGCTTAACTTGAGCTTAGCTTTAGCTTAGTTTCAGTTTAGCGTTAGCTTAGCTTTAGCTTAGCTTTAGCTTAGCTGCAGCTTAGCGTTAGCTTAGCTTTAGCTCAGCTTCAGCTCAGCTGTAGCCTAGCTTTTGCTTAGCTTTACTTTAGCTTTAGCTTAGCTTTAGCTGAGCTTTAGCTTAGCTTTATCTTAGCTTTAGTTTAGATTCTACAGGCTTACGCCACATCCGCCGACCTCATGTATTCCTTGTGATAGCAGCGCGAAATCGTCAAGCATCATTAGTTTTTTTCTCTCGTCTTGCAATGTCTGGTCCTTGCAGCGCGGCATTCAATGCAGCTTACCTTTCGTCTGTAACCTTCGTTTAGGATGCAGCATCTTATGATAGCATTCAGTGCAGCTTACCTTATGGTTGTCTTACTTTGAGATGCAAGGGGCTGGGCTCCGGCCCGCCCGCGCCGCCCCTAAGGGGCCTGCCGGCCCGTGAGGCGTTTTCCCACAATCGGGGAAGCACGCGAGACCTTCTGAGAGTTATCGGTGAAATGCCGAGACTGATTGTGCTGGACTTCCATGCGAAAGAGTGGAACCTGCCAGGGTGGGGGCCGGGGCTATATCCGATCTTCCCATCGAAAGGGCGCCAAAATGGTTCTTGGGCGGATATCGGAAGCATCCAGTATTAAGTGTGAAACGCACGCAGTTCATGATCACCCCAGTTTGGGCAGTAGCGGCGCACTCTGCGCAGGGCCGGACCACGGCCGCAGTGATAGCGGACCTCGAAAGAGGGCGCGGCGCGAGTTGGATGTCAAGTTACGCTGCCATCACGCGCGTGCGGAAACGGGAGAATTTGTTGATTTTCAGGCCCTTCGACAGGAAGCCGTGCAACGCGGGGGAAATGCCAGGCGCGCAGAATTCGTTGCAGGTGCTTCGCGGGAGGGGGATGTGAATTGGGATGAGTGGGAGGTACTAATGCCACGAGACCAGTGCGAGCGCTGCCCGCGGAGGTTGTTGGTAGAGGCGTTCACAAAGTACGAATTCCAAAAGAAAGGCCGGCGTTCTGCAAAGAGTGTTCGGGGGAAATGAAAAACGCGGACGAAAAATGGTGCGCAACGTGCAAAGGGTGGGCAACGAATGCAGAGGGTGACGACGCGGCACGGCAAGGTAGCAGTCGGAACGCGGACGCGGCGGCCGACGACGGAGAGACGAAAAGGATTAGGACAATGCGCTGCGCGAAGTGCAGCCATGTCAAAGCCAAGCAAAAGTCGCGGGAAGGCAACGCGAAGTGGAACGAGAGCGTGGAACGAACGCGCCCGCGATGTACGAACGATAAGTGCCTGTCGCTGCATGACGGAAAGGCGGAGATGTCAGAAGCTCAGAAGAAGCACGATACTGCGGGGAGAGGCTCTGTCAGAAATGCGCGGAACAACGAGAGGGAGAGAGGTGCGACGGGGCAATGCGGAGGCAGCGAATCGCAAACGGAAAGCCGAGGCGGACGCGAAGCCGCTGACGTGCGCGACGTGCGGAGGAGCGTTCTCGGACACGAAACATTTGAAGCCTCACCAAGTGGAAAATCATCGAAAGGCGAAAGGAGCCAAAGTGGCGTGCGGAGGCTGCAAGGACCTCGGGTTCACAGCCCGCAGTTGCCAGCCGCATCAGTGCAGCGGCGCGTGCGAGAGAAGGCCGCCGAAGTCGGCGTTCCCCGACCCGCGCAATGCCCCGCGAGACGCCAAAAAAGGCACCCTGAAGTGCAAGACATGCAACTGATGTCGAATCGGGCACGCGTACTGGTGAGAAAAAGGAGGACGGAGACAGGCGAATGGAGATGAGGCGGAGGATGCGGGGGGGGGGGGGGGAATCATCAAATATGACGAGGTGAAGCGGACCAGGAACACGAGGAGGGGGACGAGGAGGAGGGGAACGTGGAGAGGGTGGAGGAGGACGAGGAGGAGGGGGACATTGAAATGAGGCTCTGAGTTATGGTCCATGGGTGAGAAGTTTTTGTATGTGTATAGCGATGTATGGTCTATGGGTGAGAAATTCTTGCATGTGTATAGCGATTTCGCGGCACGCTTTTCGGGGGGCTATGGGAAACAGTTTTGAAGCCACCGGGGGGCCGATGTGGACAAGGACGGCGAGGAGGGGCGCGCGGAGGAAATGAAAAACGGGGGGACAATAATCGACGAGGATGATGATGAGGCGAGGGAGGAAGAGGAAGAATGGGCGAGGGGCTTCTCGCGGGATTTTTGGAGGCAGTTTCGAAGCCTCTCGGGGGCCGTTTTGGGACCGTTTGGGGCCCTCGGGGCCTTTTGGGGCTTCTTGGAGGCGTCTTGGGGGCCTCCTGGGGCCTCTTGGGGCCTTTGGGGCCGTGTTGGGGCGGAAGGCCCGGATTGTCGGTATGAGCTCCCCCTCTTGGGCTCCTCGTGGGGCCGTCTTGGGGCCCTCTTGGGCAGTCTTGGGGGCCTATTGGGCCGTTTTGGCGTCCTCTGGGGCCGACTTGGGGGCCTCTTGGGGGCCTCTTGGGCCGTCTTGGAGCGGTCCTGGGGTGCTCTTGGACGGTCTTCAACGCCGTGAAGGCCGACAAGTCGTATATTATCAAAATGTACGTTTCCCCATAGGAATTTCACAACTTTCAGCTCGTAGGCCCTTCTGAGGACTGCTCTTGGAGGCAGCTTGGGCCGTCTTGGAGGTCTCTTGGCTCGTCATGGGACCATCTCGGGCGTCGTGGAGCGCTCGTGTGGCGTCTCGGGGCCCTCGTGGGCCGTCTTGGAGGCGTCTTGGGACCTTCTTGGCCCGTCTGGAGCCCCTTTTGGGCCCAAGCAAGCCCGTGAGTCGCTCGTCCCGGGCCCGGGGGGGGGGTCGAATCGCCGGTTTGGGGTCCCTGGGGGGGGACTTTTGGGGGGGGAACTATCTCACACGCCTAGAGACCCACAAGGGGTCGGCGGATTTAGCTTAGCTTTAGCTTAGCTTTAGTTTAGCTTTAGCTTAGCTTTAGCTTAGCTTTAGCTTAGATTTAGCTTAGCTTTAGCTTTAGCTTAGTTTCAGCTCAGGTTTAGCTTAGCTTTAGCTTAGCTTCAGCTAGGCTTCAGCTTAGCTTGAGCTTAGCTTTAGCTTAGCTTTACTGTTACTACTAATGCTGCTTCCATAGGGGATCCAACTCCTAGGTAGGGTCGCACTGGGATAATTTCTTCTTGGGTTCGTACGGTGCGGAAGTGGAACGCGAACGCGGCCGTGAAGGCGTCGGTGAGGTCTTCGTCCGCCCGGATGCGTGCAGCACCTTTCTTGGCTGATTTGTGGTGGTATGTTGCTTTTTGCTGTGCCGTACCTGGTCCGCTTGGATAGCGGTTACCGTTGATTGTGGGCCGTGAGTAGTTCCTCGAATGCAGTCGCGACAGCGATGGTATCCATTTCGCAAATGGTCGCGCGGATCCAGACGACGCGATCGGCTGGGCCGAGTTCAACTTACATGACGTTCTGGAGGCACTCGACCCCCTCACGTCAGAATTGGAAGATGGTGCCTTGGATGTGGCTTGGCGTGGGTTTGGTGGCCTTCGCCGTGTGCTGCAATTGAGGGATGCGTATTTCTCTGCCGGGATAGTCCGTGTTGGGGGGCCGGAGAATTGCGAGGGCCAGAGGTTTGACTTGAGTGCGGATCTGTTGTAGCAGGCGGTAGCCTCTAGCGTGTGCAGCGATATGTTGCTGGTGGATGGCGTTCCCTCACCGTCCCTTTCCAGGCGCTGTGGTAACGGGGACGTCCCAGTTTTGCGCGTCAGGGCTGATGAGAAGGGCCTTGCCGTTGCCCTGTTGGGCTTCGGCTTTGACCGTGGTGCCATTTGCTGCGGTATCACGTTCTTTTGGCGTGGTACTCTTCCCGCGCAATCACATCAGTTCGCCCCTGAGCGTTCGCTGGTCGGAGCGGCGCTGTTGGTAAAATGTATCTGGGTCATTTTGGTGTTTGTGAGCGAGATAGCTGTGTGCAGCGACCATTCGGTCGACGCCGACCCCGCTGTGGAGTGCAGCGACGCAGACTTCCTTTCGAGGCAAATTGCTGTCGGATTAAGGAGTGTTCTGGTGGCCCTTACTTGGTGCCTTCCGGAGCAATGGCGCGCGCGCGCGCGGATACTGAAGGGGGACGAAATGGAACACGTATCAGTACCGCATTGTGTGGCGCGGCTACCGTCTTCCCAGGCAGGAACGGATGCGGAGGGGGAGGGGCATTTGCCACGAACCTTCATGAGCACAAGTGCTTTCCGCTCAAAGACTAGGAAGAGGAGTAGGGAGGGGCGGAGATGGTGATGGAGGGGAGGCTAGGTGGATGAGGGATGAGGAGGAGAGAGGCGGGACCAATGATGAATGACGAGGGGGAGGAGGCGAGCGAGAGGAGGGAGGTAGAGAGAGAGGGAAGAGAAGGAGGGAAGAGAAAGGGGAGGAAGATATGGGGAGGGGAGAGGAGGAGGAGGAGGAGGAGGAGGAGGAGGAGAAGGATGAGAAGGATGAGGACGAGAAGGATCAGGGGGAACATGAGAAGGAGATGGTAAAGCATGCAGAATCCGGAGGCGGAAGGCCAGCGAGAAGGCGTACACATGCTACAAACAAGTCAAGAGAATTGTCGTTACGACCACGACGCTGACGAACGACTTTGGAGGCGGAGGAGAAGGATGATCAGGAGGAGGAGGAGGAGAAACGAAAAGGTGAGTATGGAACCATCATGCGATCATTACGTATATCTATATATGTATATCCATACATATTCAGAGAGAGAGAGAGGATCAAAAGGAGGAGGAGGAGGAGGCTGGAGAATAATGAAGAACAGCTTAGCTTGCCGACTATTGGCGTGATGATGTTCAAGCTGCGGATTGACGGCACTATTGTTTACCCCCCGCAGTGGTGAAAAGGAGGTTGCATGCGATATGTGGCTGTTGATGGGTAACCGAGCAGACCGGATTCTTGAGGCGAGTGTTGCCGAATCTATAAATTTCCTAAGGTCGGGCGGACTCTACGAGTGACGCTATTGCAGGCTGTCAAGATCCAGAAGCAGATTGATATTTATTTCGAGGTGCCAACCACGCAGTACCAATGTGCATCCGTGGCAGTGTAATGGGTGCGATGCGCAATACCGTATGCACCAGCAGGTCAGCCAAACGCTTGGGGCAGCAGTTTTGCGACTACGCATGAGTTATGCGCGTGATGCCGATTCTTGAGGGCATGGGGCGCGATTGGAAGTCACGACTCCACGTGCGAGGCAGCCTTTTCGGCGATGGATCTGCATCTGGTTTGCAGTTTCTGTCGCTCATGTTCATCCTCCTACTTTGTCGTGCCCCCTCCTCCTCGTCTACCTCCCATTCATCGCCTCCTTAGATCTCTGCTTAGGCTCAGCGCTCTTGCGGCAGGATCTTGCCGACAGCCCCACCCACCAAGCCGAGGTCGCCGACGAGATACGTGCCGGGATGGGGCAGCCCAGCCAGCGGCGAAGAGGTCGTATTGCGTAGTCCTCCGCATCCTGGATCGCGGGGCTCCTCTGGGCGGACCTCTGGGCCCAGAGCTGCGGGTGTGAGATTTCCAGGCTCGGGAAACGAATGAACGAATATTCGAATGTTTGCTAAGGCCGCGTTGGCCCTCTCAATGGGGCTGGTCGGCCCCAGTGGCCTTCCCTCTGAATTCGCCAGTCGCGAGAATATCTTCGTGCGTCTTGCTCCAGGATGTATCGTTTGGAGCTTCTGAGGGGGGAGGGGCCCTGTCGGCCTTTTCCTGAGGCCCGCTGGCCACCAAAACATGTTTGCGGGTGCTGCTAAGAATGTGTTGGGCACGTCCAGGTGGGTCTCCCGTGCCTTTCTTCTCGGCTCCTGGGTATCAGCATCGGGCTGGGCCGTTGCAGGGATTGCTTTAGACGCGCTGCTTCTTCTTTCGGGCTTGGTACTTGCTCAAAGTAGGACAATAGTGAGCCATTCGTCTGCGACTTGCGTTGCGCTGTCTCCACCGCGGATTCCCCTGTATATTCCGAGCAATGGAGAAACGATATCCACGCAAGTTGACGTTCGTGCATTCTTGCATTCGCTCCATACTCCGTCGAAGTTCCAACGTTGCAGTCACTCTGGCAATGCAGGCGTCACCCGCTGTTTCACGATGGTCATTGGTTCCAGCTCCACTCATACATCCAATCGTATTGGTTGACGCTCAGGTTGCATATCTCTCGCTCTCTCTCTCTCTCTCTCTCTCTCTCTCTCCCTCTCTCTCTCTCTCTTTCTGTCTCTCTGTCTCTCTCAATTGTTAGTGCCCTTCAGGTTTGGACAGAACCGTCTGAGGGCTACCCAAAGAACTCGCGCGTCCACACGCGCGCTGTGGGAAGTTGCAGCTTAGGAGGTCATGCTATTTGTGTTGCGGCATGCCCATGGATTGTAGAATGTTGAACGTGCATGCTTATCTAGCCCACATGCGTTCCAGACTGAGAAGATGAGAAAATGTATCTCCTTGAGTGTTCCTGAAGATCGACCCGCGAATCGTTGTAAGTTCGTGCATGCCTGGAAACTGTGCAACACTTGCAGGTGAGTAAATGCACGGCAGCACTAGATGATATTACGTCGCTTAATTACGTTTGCATAACACGTTGTGATCATGAGGTGCAAGCTTGCTTCCACATCTGCTGTGCATTCGATGAACTTGCCAACATGCGCTGAGGTGAACAGCTCGAGCTCGATTGGTATGGGGACGAGGAAGAGGCGCGCCCATGTGCACCAGCTGCACTGCATGTATTTGTAATGCGTACCTTGGGCAGCTGTGTTGAAGCCACGCCCGAGCAATCAACGCCCTGCGTGCAGCATTCGATCGGGTCGCCAAGCAAGCACAGCTCATGGAATGTCGTATCAGCACACCTCCGCCGACTCGGTCCTGTCTAGTCCAAGACCCCCTGATTGCTCGACCCCTTCCCCAGGGTAGCTACTTCGCCTTTCTCCCCTGGCCATTTCTATGAGCAGGAAGGAGGGAGGGGGGAAAGGGAAGAGAGGGGCAGGGGTAGGGGGGAGGAGGTGGGGGACGGGACGGAGCAGGCCAGGCTGAGGAGGGAGAAGGAGCAGGGCTTTTTGACTCGAGAGGAGCATTCCTACACGCATGCCGCTGAAGCTAGCCCGAAGGAAAAAAGTCTACCTGACGCTTGGGCGCGACACGGGCCTCGCTACCCTCGGCACCCTTGGGACTGGCCGAGGGAGCAGTGAGGGGCCATTGGCGAACAAAAAGCGAAGAGCCGAAGAGAAAGGAGCGGATATAAAAAAATTGCTGTAGCTTCTGCTGCACAGGCGTCAGTGCCTGGATGCTGTATCGAATCCGTCGGATGGAGAGTAGGAGGAGAGGAGAGTAGGACAAAGATAAAGTATTAAAAACAGAGAGACTGAGAGAGTGAGAGAGAAAGACAGACAGAGAGAATCCGCGCCTGGTGCTTGTGCGTTCGCGTGCAATCTGCTCGCATCAGATTCCGCGCCTGACCTTGAGGCTTCTGGGAAATATCGCGCCCCGCAGAGTGAATGTACGGCGAAGCTGCCGAGCGAGATGGTGCCGTCGGGTCCGGCCGTTGCCGCGACGAGTCGCCGCGCCGAAACCGAAGAGACTTACCCGGCAAACGGATACGCATGTCAACATATCCATGCGCACGCGGGCGCGCAAGCGCGCTGGAAATGTCAGCCTGCTGCCCCCACGGTCTCCGCCGTGCGTGCCGGGTGCGCGGGCCTTCCCTCTGCACGAGCCCTCCGCGCTCTTCCCTCTGGGCCGCCGGAGTGTCTGGCGGATGCCGGCCTCTGGCGCTCCCGCTCGCCGGGCTCCGCCGCGCTGCGCGCGGGACCGCGGCGCCAGAATGCCAGGCGCGTGGGCACGCCTTGGGTCCCGGAAGCGGCAGGGCCGTTGCTCATCGGGCGTCGCGCAAGGGGTGGGCGATCAAGGGGGGGAGACTGGGCGGCGGCGAGCGAGGGAGGGGAAGTGAGAAGTAGAAGGCCTTCTCAGGAGGCGGTGGGACTGCTCAGAGGCCCTCGCGCCTTCTGAGAAGTTTTCAGTGTCTTCGGGGAAGCTTCGGAATTTCCTCAGAAGGCCAGGGGACTTCGAGCCTTCTGAGAAGGCCCGCTCCTTCTCACTTTCCCCCCCCCTGGGCTCGCCGCCGAAAAGGTACACTTCTCTGACCCTAAAGCCTAAAGGCCCCCTTCGGGACCCTAAAGGGCCCGTCAGGGGCCCTAAAGCCCTGACGGGCTCCTTTTCTACAGCTCTCGCTGCCCGCCCACTGATCGCCCCCCATACTACGCGACGCCCCAAGTTCAGCGGTTTTCAAGAATCTGTCTCGGGGGCATGAAAGATCATGAGAAAACGGCCCCCGGAAACAGGAAAAGACGGCTCCGGGATTAGAATGGGAACCGGAGCCGGAAAAACAAATGCGACGGAACCAGGAAAAAACGGCGCCGAAACCAACAAGCAAGTTGCAAAACGGAACGCGTAAAATGCATCCTTGTCGCTTCCAGGGCACGCCATTGCGCGAGTGGTGGCAGGTTCCCTGGGGGGAACAAGCAGCCAGCATCAAATAAGCAGCTTATCTGGGCTGTTCGATCTGGTCCCTGGAGGTCTTCTCGCCTGGCTGGCCCTTAGGCCCATCTCTTGGCATCTCCGCCTCCTCCTCCTCCTTCCACTCCTTGGATGATCGTTGTGGGGACTTCCCTGGGGCCCACCTGACGGATCTGTTCGACTGAAGTTCGACCTTGGATCGATTCAAGTTCGACTCGAGTTCGTCTAAAGTTCGACTCAAGCCGACGGACGTTCGACGCTGCATCGACGCACGAGTAGAGAGAGAGTGGCTCCAGGAACGCCAGAACTGGCATGTGACCCTCCTGCCAGCTGCCGGCCCTCCAGCTGGAACAGCCATCACGGCCCCACAGGGGCCCTGGTGGGGCCCCGCGGGCGGCCTTGGTGCTTGCGCATGGGGCCATCTGCCTTCACGCCCCACCAGAGGGGTAAAGCCGGTAGCTGTTGGATTGCCCTCTTGCCCCAGGCGCCACAGCTCGTCCTGTCTCGCCCCCATCCACTCGGGCGACGAGAACTGTGCACAGGCACCGCTCCTGATCAGGCCCATCTTGGGCCCAGGGTCGGTGCATGTGCCTCCTTGGCCGAGCCAGGAGGACCTGTGCACCGATCCTGGACTCCTCTGTCCTCCCCCATCCGCTTGGAGGAGGGCCACCTGAGACAGCGTGGGGCTCTCCCGCCCAGCCCAAGCCCGCACGGAGTCAATCCCAAAACCCAGACCCCTCCTTGGGCTCATCCTGGCCCGGTTTTCGAAGCGGCTCTGGCCGCGGCGTCGAGCAGCTGGGGGGCCCGAGCAGGACAGCAGCACGCCAGGGAGGGCCGCCGAGTGCCGCAACGGTGGTCAAGAGTTGCCTCGAGCGCCCGTGTCTTGTTTTCCGTACAGCCGGGCCGACGTATAAGGTCGAGGCCGGTTCGGGGAGGGTACCCCCAATGTTCTTCGTGTCTGATGGATGTTCTTGCGCATCCTGGGGGGGGGGGTACCCTCGGATGTTCTGGTTGTTGTGGCCGACGGAGGTTCTCATGTTCTTGAGGGGTGTTCTTCTGGCCGAAGTCCGACTGTAGCCATCTTTGGCGATCGCTCAAGCATTTTTTTGTGCCCTCAAGCATGGCGAAGCGTGAGCCAGAGCAAGGCTTCCTGAGCGCACGCGCGTTTTACGATGAGGAGCTACGGGCCCAGCTCTCAGAGGTGGGCGCCGTGGACGCCGCCCAGCTCCTCTCCGAGTTCTCCGCCGCTGCTGCCACGAGCGACCCCGGCCCCCTGCTGGTGGACGTGCGGAGCTCCGAGGAGCGGGCGGTCTCCACGATCCCGGGAGCCGTTGCCGCGAAGGTCCTCCTTCGAGACCTCGAGATGGGCCGCAACAGGGCGGTGGTGTGCTACTGCTGCATCGGCGGGAGGAGCGGGAACTTCATGAGTGAGCTCGTCGCGTCCGTCGCCGGCTCCCCACCGTGGCGGTCCATCCGCAATCTCGAGACGGGCATGATCGGTTGGTGCCACGTCGGTGGGCCCCTGGCGGACGCCGCCGGCACGGCAACGAAGCGAGTGCACGGCTGGTCGGCCAAGTTTGCTGCAATGTACCCGGAGGAGGGCTTTGAAGTAGTCGTCGAGCCCCCGCCTTCCCCGACAGTTTGGAAGCACACCATTGTGCTCGTGGGCTGCGGTCATGCCCATGCGCAGGTGATCAAGGAGTACAACCACGCGAATGTCCCGCGCTGGGTGAGAGTGGTCCTCATCGATCCCCTCAAGAAGGCATCGTATTCTGGCATGGTACCCGGCGCAGTTGCAGGGCAGTACACACCTGAGCAGACTCAGATCCAGCTTGAGCCTCTGGCAAAGTGGGCTGGAACGCAGTATTTCAACGCAAGCGTGATCGATGTCGACCCTGAGGCGCGGGTGTTGCACTTGGGGCCGTCCCCGCACACCAATCCAGATGGGCTATTGCCAGAAGGCGTTCCCGCGTCGTTACGGTACGATGTCGTGTCTTTCGACATCGGATCCCGCACTGCTCACACAGACACTCCGGGTGTCCAGGAGTTCGCCATAGCCACGCGGCCAATCCATCTGCTGGTTAGCCGCATCGATGAACGAATTGCGAAACTCACGCGCAGCTCGGTCAATGTGGTGGTCTGTGGGGCAGGCGCTGCAGGGATCGAGCTGGCGCTGACGATCGCCGCCAGAATCAGGTCAAACGGGATGGAGGTGAATGCCACGCTTGTCGATACCAACGCAGCTTTGCTCTCGGAGGATACACCGATGGTGCGCAAGACCATCGCGTCGATCATGGCGGGACGGGGCATTCAGGTCCTCCACAATCGCCGCGTCGATCGCATCACCGCCACAGACGTTGTGCTCGACAATGGCGATGCGATTCCCCAGGACATTGCGATCTGGCCAGTCGGCGCAGCGTCGCACCTCGTCGCTGCGAAGCTCGCGGCTGCTGGCGTAGCTACGTGTCCGAAAGGCTGGATCCGCGTCTCGAACACCTTGCAGAGCGTCAGCCATCCAAGCATATTTGCGGCAGGGGACTGCTGCACGTTCGAGCACCTTGCAAGGCAGCCCGGCAAGGCGGGCGTGTACGCGGTGCGTACGGGTCCCGTTCTCATGAAGAACCTCTTGGGCTTCTTGCAGGGATGTGCCACCTTGCAGGAGTACACTCCGCAGCCCGATTTCCTTCGCCTCTTCAACTGCGGCGATGGGTACGGTTTCGGCGTCCGCTTCGGCGTGTCCATGTATGGACCGTGGGTTTGGGAATGGAAGGATTTCATCGACCAGTGGTTTATGAACCTGTTCAAGGTGGAGAACCTCCCCGACCTTTCCACGCTCAAGGGTGCCGACGATCGGCAGTTCGATTCGGCGCTGCAGAGCGTCGTTTCCGCTGCGCCAGCTGAGCCCGCCGCAGCTGCGAAGGTGCTTACATCCGTGGACGCCGAGCTCGTGGTTGTCAAGAGCATCATCAACCGTATGTCGCAGGACGACGAGTATTGCCAACGGGTGGTGGAGCAGGCATGGAGCATCTCACCGGATGCCAGCGGTTGAGATGCGGGGCTTTTTGACACAAATGGCGGAGCTCAGAGGACCATCGGCCATTGTTTCCGCGTTTAGTCGGTGTATCGGTCGTTGTTTCTGTTGCTTCCGCTCCCGGTTCTGACTCCCATCCAATTTTCTTCGGCTGGATCCGCCTTCGCTCGCAGGCGGAAAATGGATCCGTAACCGGGGCCTCGCGGGCCGGGCCGCTGGGCCGCGCCCCCGCGGATGCGGCGTGTGGCTTCGCGGTACCGCGTGTCCGCGGGATCGCGCCCCAGGCTCCAGGCCGCGAGGGCGCGGAGGCGGACAGGCGGACCTCGGCTCCCGACCCGGGCCCTGGCCCGCCCGCACTGCCCTCGCAGGGCGTGTCGCTCGGACCGACGGTGCGCGCTCGCTCGCTCGCTCCCTCTCGCCCTCCCTCCTGGACGGACGGCCGGCGGGCGGCGGGGGGGCGCAAGCAACCTCAGGAGGTCTCAAATTGTTGCCCCTCCTCGTTTTCCTCGGCGGGGGGTAAGCTCGTCCCTCCTCCTCCTCCTCCTCCTCCTCCTCCTCCTCCTCCTCCTCCTCCTCCTCCTCCTCCTCCCCCCAGGCTACGTGGACTCCTCCTCCTCCTCCTGCTCCTGCTCCTAGTCGTGCTGGTAGGCGTAGTCGTAGTCGTGATAGTAGTCGTGGTCGTAGTCGTAATCGTAGTCGTATTCGTCGTCGTCGTCGTCGTTGTTGTTGTTGCTGTGCGGCGGGCGCCGCGGAGAAATAGCTATTTTCCATTATTGGTGGGGCCCGAGTTCGTCGATAAGGTCGCCGAAAAGATCATTAGTTTTCAACTACTGGGGGGGTTCTAACGACCTATTGCAGTTAGTGCTGCAGGCCAGCGATGCGCCGCCGGCCCTTCGGCCTCACACATGGGAGGCCTCTAAGGTCGGTGTTTCTTGAGGGCCCCACCCTAACGTTGCCCTCTGGCTTTCGGGTCCTAACTCGGCTCTCTGGCGGCCGTTCGGGACGATCCAGGCTCTTCTGGAACGCTCTCGGCGAGGCGCGGCCGCAGGAAGGCATCCTGAGGCCTGAGGCTCGAACAAATTGTCGAGAGCCTCTGAAAACTTCCGAGAAACTTCGAGAATTCCCGAAACCTCCGAGAACCTACGAAAATCTCAGAAAGTATCCAAACACTTCCTAAAACTTGCGAGAACCTCGAGAGACCTCCGAAAACTCACGGAAACCTAAGAACACCCTCGAACGCTCCCGAAAATGTGCGGAAATGTCCCAGAAGTCCCGAGAGAACCTCCGACAACCTCCGAGAGCCTGCAGACACCTCCGAGAACTTGGCCCCTCCTGTTGGTTCCACCCCCCCCGTCCGGGCAGCGGGCGGGCGAGGGGCAGCGGGCGCGCGCAGCAGGTGGTGCTGCAGGCCGTGCACTACAGCGCGAAGCAGGGCGGGGACGTCCCGCTCGCCGAGCTCAGGCCAGCGGCGGGCCCCCCTCCCCGAGGGCCTGGCGCAGAGCGGGGGCGGCCAGGAGGGGGGCGATGACCCAGCGGGGGGCGGCCGAGAGGGGGGCGATGGCCCAGAGGGGGGGGGGGGAGGATGTCATGGCGGGGGGGGGGGAGAATGTCCCAGGGGGGGGGGATGTCAGGCGGGGGGGGGATGACCCAGGGGGAGGGGGGTGATGACCCAGGGGGGGGGGAGGATGTCGTGGCGGGGGCCATGATGTCTGCCCAGACTTCACGGCGCGTCGTCTTGTTTCACCACGCCCCCGGCCCCACCCTGGGCCGCGAACATGCCGCGCCGGCCATGATTTGCCCCCCCCCCCCCCCTCCCCCTCTTGGACGCCCCCCTCTTGGACGCCCCAGATAAGAAAGTCCGCGGTTCGCTGGGGACGTGTTGGTTTTCACCAACCCTGACCAACCCTGCATTTCCGAGAGTCCTGGGCGAGCAACGAGGGCGGAACTTCTCTTGGGACGGAGCTCTCGTTGGAAACTGCCGGCGGCATCTGCCAAGTCCTCTGGCTCAGGATCGCACAGGTCAGGGCTTGTCGCGGAAAACATAATGTAAACACATAAGGTTTCGGGGTTGCGCGCGGACTTTTTGGATCGGCGCTGGGCCCCCATAAAACTACCGAAACAGTCACGAAACCGTCCGACAAAAATCCTCCCCGAAGGGTTCCGTGAGGCTTTCTCGGAGGGCCTTGGGAGGATTTCACAAAAAGGCTCGGGCCGCTTAGCGGGGGGAGCCAGGCTCTTGCGAACCCTGGGCTCTCTAACCCCACGGGCCTGACGGCGTCTCGCAGTCGACTCTTGCGGGAAGCATCGAAGAGCGACAGACGAGACGAGCACAATTGTTGGAGATCCTCGCAGATGCCTTGGGTCGGCGTTGGGCACCCCCGGCGGCGCCTCCGGCGCCGCCCCTCGGCGCGCCCCGCGCGCCAGGGATGGGGGGGGCCCGGTGCCGATCCGAGGAATCCGCGCGGAGCTCCGGAAGTTGATGTGTACACCTTAGGCGATGCTTAAGAAAACTTAAGTTTTCGGCCAGAGTCTCGATTATTCTTAACGTTTCAATGTAATTCTTAAGATGTTAATGAAACTGTTGGGTTTTTATTCAAGTTCTGAGACTCTGAATTTCTTAACCCATGATTTCTTAAGCATTTCGCAGGGTGTATGCCGCTTGTTGCTCCTCTGGACCAGGCTGGGCAAGGCAAGGTCGATGCGGGCAGATCCAGGCAAATCCATATGAGTCCTGGTCTACTCATTTTTTTCTCCATACCATCCAGTTCCTCAGGTTTGCTCAAATGCGTAGCGAATGCATGCTGCCGTGTCCAAGCCTGCCGTCGTAACCAAGAATATCCGCACTGCATGGCAATGATGGCCGGTGGTTCCTGTAGCCTATGCAATTCCGTTTGGCTTTCAACCAATCCGAAGAATCATTGCGTGTCCCAGTATCTCTCACATAAGCCAATATTCCGTGAAGTCCTGGTAGATTCAGGCAGGCCCATGCGGGACGGCGGAAGTGGCTTCGCCCTGAAGGACCCAGGGGGGGAGTGACAGTGGGCGGGCCTTGTCAGGAAGGCTCGGGAGGCCCCCAAAGCCTCCTGAGAAGGGCTCGCGGCCGTCTCCCAAGGCAGAGACGGCTTCGCAGACGGGATGGCTTCTAGGAAGCCCCGCCGCCTTCTGCGGAGGCCCCCCTGGGCGCGCCGCCGATCAGGATCCCCCGCGCGGCCGTCGAGAAGTACGCGAAGGAGGCGGGCGGCCTGCGCTCCGCTCGTCGCCCCCCGCCGCCCCTCTCAGATCTCCAGCGATCTGATCGTTTCAAGCCGGTTTTTTTTTTGTTTTTCCTGATTTCGGCCCTTGGGGCCTTTTCTCAGGTTCTGGGGCCATCCGAGACAGAAAGCAGCCCAGGACCTTTGTGGCCGAGGGTGTAAGACCTAACATCGGCGGATGTCAAGGTCTCGTTTGGGTTTCTGGCTGTTGCGTTCGGCCTCCAAGGGCCCTTGCGCCGGCCCCACAAGACCGTCACAAAGCGGTTCGGGATAAGAGGGCGGTCCAGGGGAAGGGGCCCAGACATTCGGGAGTCCACGTTCCTGGTGTTGCTAGAGGTGGTCTTGGGCCAAGGTGTTCCCAGTTTTGCACACCATTTTAGAGCCCATGGGGTCCTCTGGGCCTTGCAAGGGATGTTCCGAAGGTCCTCTTGGACTTCTCGGGAATCTTGGGGACACGTTGGGCCAGGGACACCTTTGGCACCACCCGAGCGTTGCGAAAAAAACATCACGACGTCGGGGTTTGGGGTCTGCTCGGCGCTGGCGCAAACTTTGTTTGTTCGCTTCTTCGCTGGCACGGAAGGAGCGGGTCATGGGGGAAGGGGCCCTTGAAACTTCTTGCATTTTTTTGTTCAAGGCCCCGATGGCTCGTCGGGTGCCAGGACCGTCACAAGACGGACTGAGGTTGAGGAGCCGGTCTCGGGGAAAGCCCACAGGGTTTGGCACATTTCTCCCTCAGGACTCCTTCTGATTCGGAGCGAGTTCGGCCCTCGGGGGCCCTGTTCGGCGCCACAACTAGAATGAATTCAAAAAGGCTCCTCCTCCTCCTCCTCATTTTCTTCCTCCTCGCTTAGCCCCCGAGGCTCAGGCGCATTGTGCGCGGGGGTCAAGCCCCGCTCCTGGCGCCAGATGCGGCCCAGCGGCACGTGTTGCTGCGAGCGCGCCTGTACGTGGCCTCGCTGGCAGGCCCGCGGCGGCGCTGCCACTGTTCATCAGGGTCTTGGACCCACTGTCGGCGGTGGGGGGCAGAGCGCGGCTTCGACGCCACGGCATTGTAGGACCGCAGTTCAAGCCCCCCACAGGAGATTCGCATGCTTTACAGCGCGGAGAACGAGGCAAACGAATCATGGAACCAGGCTCGGGCAATGGATTTTACAAAAACAGCTTTGCTGGCTGTCCAAGACTGTGGGGCAGGCGGGTGAAGAAGCAACACATACGATTGGTGTTCTCGGCACCTACGACGCTTCAAGGCAAGGGCTCGCAGCTTGGTGCAAAAAGTCCTCCTGAAGATAAATGCCATAGCCATGTATCTCCCGCCGCGCCCACACGCGCCCACACAGTGCCAAGGTTGGATCGCACGACACGAGCACACCGATGACGAGATGGGTAGACGTAGAATTGAATCAAATACCGCACCCTTCACTGCCGCAGCTACTCACGGGCCCGAACGACCGCACGGGCTACAAGGAGCAGGGCGGGCGCGTGGGCCAGAGGGTGATTAGCAGAGAATGGCGACGGAAGGAACGTGGCACACGGAAGTAAGGAGCAGTTACGGTCAGGTTTGGAAAGCAAGGCGGTCGACAGCGAAACCGATTTATTTTGTCAGCAGGAGGGAGTCATCAAGAATTGACGACATTTTTGGCCCACCCATGGGAGAAAACAGGAAACAGAGCTCCACCACGATGTAGAACGGGGCGGATCACACACGCGACTCTGCTATGTGAGCTACGAGACCAAGCGCCAGCGTCCGCCCGCATAACGCACGGCAAGTGCGTCACGAGCGATGAACAAGCCATAGTTGATTTTTGAAGAAAAAGATGAAACAGCGACGCGCTGGTCCTCGCGATGATACATGGAGACCAGTAGCGCGAATGTTTGACTGTCTCGAACGATTAGTTTCCGAACAACATTACGATGTGAGCGTCGCGGGCTATGAAAGACAAAGCCAGGCTACATTTTCGCGCACGCGGGGAGCAACCAGCACAGCAAGGACACAAATATGTCAAGTAATTCGTCGCCGTGGACGGGGGGCGCAGGGAGGCCAGACAAAAACGATTGGTTATTCATTCTACGACAGATGCGTAAAAGGACACGTGGAGGCGCAGTTGAAATCTGATCCCAAAGAATGCGCAAGGGCACGGCAGCTGGCGAAAACGCAGCTATGACAATCGATTGCAGCAGAGATTGGCGCGCAGTGGGAGGGATGGAGGTTCGCGCGGGCACACAGAGCTAGCCCCAGATTCGGAAGCAACAGAGCAGGCACAAAGAAGAGAAACCTTCCAACAATTCACGTGGCTCGCCCTGCGAAGCTCGAATGGATGAACGCGTTCAGGGCGCAAGCAAGAGGAAACGAGCGCAGCGGAAGCCGCGCCGACCGAAGAGAGGGCAAAGGAAGATTTTGAGCATCTAGAAGGACCAGTGGCTGCGCCAAGAATACCCGGCCCACGGGGCCCCACGGGGCCCAGAGACGACCGACAGCGATGCGAAGACGACCGCGCTACTGAAGCCGCATTGGAAAGCGCGAGGGCCACCAGACGTTCGACATGGTAACCGAGGAGAACACCAAGTGGAAGAGCTTGCCCAGCGGCCCTCCATTGGAAGAACTTTCCGGACGGCGCCAAGCCTGGAGCGGGACGAGGACGGGAAAGGTGTGGGATCTGACGCGTGGGACTAGGGCGACATCGTCGTTGGGGCCCGCCTGCACCCGTTTGCCGCGCCACAGCTCGAGGCGCCGCCGCAGCTGCAGTTGGCGTCGAGGGTCGGGCGCGCGAGCGAGTGCTACCCGGCCACAAAAAATAAGGTTCACGGTTAAGCAGGGCGGAAGGTTCTAAACGCGCCATTAAGCAGGGGGCAAGTTTTCCCGGGAGCTGCACCAGCGCGAGGCGACCCGAACAAACGCATCACAGATCATGGGCTGGCGAAGAGAACGGTGCGGGAGGCGTTTATATTGGCCCCCATGGCTGCGGCGCACCGACTAAGACAATCGCGGCGCTCACGCGCGGGCATCTGCAGAGACCTAACAAGTTCATGGTCTTCAGTTGGGTGGGAGCACATGGAAAAGGCCGCGGAAACACGCGCGCGGCCGCGCGATCCTGGCCCAGAATGCCAAAGTATACAGGTGTCGCGGGCGATTCCACCAGCTGCAGAAGGATGGGCGCGATTTCGATTAACAGAGGGTTGACTCGTGGGGGAGGGGGTGGGGCGCGCACGGCGCGCCGCTTCCCGGGGGCCTCAGCGCGCGCCGCCGATCCGCGGGCGAGCGGTTGGCGAGACGGCGGCGACGCGGACGCACGAGCGGCGGCCGATTGCCCGCTCGCGAACCACGCGGTTGTCATCCGCAGGCGCATATACGCGGGCGACATCGACGAGGAGATCGCGCAGCGCAAGCCACATGCCAATATGCCAGTCGACTTGGACAAGCCTAGGGACAAACTGAATGAGCGCGACAACCCGGTGGACGGGCAGCCCCCCCGCATTGGCCTCGCCCTCAGCAAGGAAAGCACGCCCGCAGCACGGCAGTCCACGGGTTGGGCAGCCGCATTGCCGGCATGCCAGAGAAGGATTACGCGCGCTACCAGAGGCAAAAGTAGGACGGGGAAGTGGCGGGCCAAGCCAGATCTATTGGACCGCGCCACGAGCGCAGAGGGATTGGGAGCGCAACGGGGAAAGCAACTTGAAGCGGCGAAGGCAGCGCTCTACTCCGCGCAGCTCAGATACTAGGAGGTGGAAGCGCACGGCCCTCACCTGGTGGGTGGCCAACGTAGCCCCATCAGCAATGGCGCCAGTCCCACCGACGAAGGGACAGCGCGACGCGATCGGCAAGGCGGCGGCACCAATGGCGAGGATTGCAGCGAGGGGCAACGCATTCACGCGGAACGGGGACAGGCCAGCGAGGCCGATCACCCACGCGAAAGTCGCGGCGCACTGGGGATCTGCCAGAGCGGAGGCGGCGACGAGAGCGAGGCGGCAGTTGTGGCCCCAGCGAGCACCCTGGGATCGCAACAACCACGCTCAGTTCTTCGCGGCCATCTCCGGCCCCGCCCACGGGCGGAGGGTTCCGACCATCGCGGCGGGCCACCGAGTCTCACGGTTTGCTGGTATCCTGGCAAAGCAAACTCAAGCGGACATTGACGCAGTGGTTGCTTGCCCAGACGAAGCGCAGTGTTTGCAGGGACGCGCAGGGCCGCGGATCGCGGCGCTGTTGAAGCACCGGGAGTGGAGGGCAGAGTTCGGCCAAGTCGGAGCGCGCATCTCGCGAGCAAACGAGTTCAAAAACAATGCCCCGGCCCCGCTGCGCGCCCCTGCCCGGCGCGCGACGGAGAGCGCGAATGCGCGCGCGCGCGCGGGCGAGAGGATCGACTAGACGCAAGAGTGCCCTTTCGCAGGAGTGACCTTTGGTGCGGGCCCAATGGGTTCCCCAGGTCGCCAAACGCGATGCGATAGTGGCGTCTTGCGCGCTTGTGTTTGGCCCCCCGCGGTTCCCAGAAAGCCGCGCACCAAAGGTCACTCTTACCCAGGGTCCCCCTTGCGTGTAGTCGAGAGGAGGTCCGCGCATGCCGCCTGGGCGCGCGGGGGGGAGGAGACGCGCGGCTGGCAGTCATTCTCAAAGCGCGCGCGCTCGACAAGCGCACCGCCTCGTCGAGGGGGGCCCCTTCTTCGGCCGTGCGGGCTAGCGCGTCGCGGATGAGGCTGCGTTCGCATCGAGGCACGGGCGCGAGACACTTGGCACGACATGCTCAGGGGGGGGCCATCCCGTGGTCGACCTAGCAAAAGCATTGCCCTCCGAAGAATGGCCTAAGACCATGCAGTGCCCTAGTGCGTAGCTGTGTATCGGTTCGAACTCAGGGCGCATATGGCGCGGCGCGTTCCATATCTACCAGACATTCGAGATTCGAGAGCCCACGACAGCGGGCATTCACCCGCGCCGCCTCCCCAGCGGCGGCGGCGGTGAGCGCGGAGGAGGAGGGGGCAGGCGACGCGCGGCTGACGGAACCGGGCGACGGACCGAAGTGGGCGCTGCAGAGGGGCAAAGGCCCAGCTGATGGAGCAGGCTCGCCAGGCGACCGTAAACCCACGAAGGCGGGGGAGGTTATTCCTGGTAAAAAGGCAGGCAGGAAATGAGCGTTCAAGGCGCAGCAGCTCGCGGCGATCATCAACAAACTCTTCCTCTTCACTGCTGGCGACGGTGGGCGCCCCCGCGAGCGAGGCCGCCGCCGAGGCGGGCAGGGAGCGCTACGAGGTAGCCGCGAATCCGAAGGGGGGTCAGGCGCAGAGCGAGACGGTCGGCGCGGCGAGGCCGGGCAGCCCGCGCCTCCACGTCTGGAAGGACTCCGCCCCGCAGCGCGGCAAACAGGACAAGAAGCCATGGGAGGCAAAGTCAGACTGCAGCGGGCCATGGCGACAAACGCCCACTTCAGCAACGACCTCGATTTCATCCCCCAGGCGGAACTCGTTCGACATGGAGCGGAGGCCACGATCGGAGCAGAGCCGAGGTGAGCCTTGTGGAGAGAGATGCCATGGCGCTCCTGAACAACCTAGGGGGCGGCGCGAACACAGTGGAACGAGGAGAATAAAGGCACTGGCGGGCAGTGAAAGGCTGGGAGATCTGATCGAGGCTGGGATCACGTCTAGAGAATCTGCCCTCGCCTCCTTCACTTCCTCACGCATGCAAAACACGATTTGAAGACGTCAAAGTAAGCTAAGATCGAGCCACGCAGAAAGGGGCGCGGGCGAGTGAAGAGGGGGAACTCTCCCCAAGAGCATGGTTTTAAGCTGTGGGTCGCCACCCCCGCGCCCTGACAGTCCCTTTGGAGAATTGCGAAGGGGGCTGCGTGAAGCTCCAATCCGTGCTGGCGAGTAACATTGCTGTAGCCACACAGGCCTGCCTCCCAGCGATGTAGGGTAGCCTGTCAGAGGCCCGAAATCTTCGTCGCCCAGAGATTTGCATGCTTGCTTGCTTGCTCCTCCTCCCTGTCCTCCCCTCAATTTCACAACAGGTACACCTTATGAATGCTATTCCCCTCTCTCCCCAGATTCTGTCCGAAAGATGTTCCGCCCTCTCCGCGTACTCTGCGTTCACACAGGATCCCAACAATTGTGTATCTAATTTGCTTGTGTCCAGCCCGATCGTCTCTGGTCCTTCAAGACGGTGTTCCCGATGCAGCGTTGGCCTCATGTCCACGCTTCTGGTCCTTCAAATCGTGTTCCCGCTGCAGCGCTGGTTTCCACGTGTTCGGTCCTTCCCACACGTGATCCCGCTGCAACGCGAGTCCCATTTCCGTATTTCAGTATTTCTCGAATGGCGTTCCCGTTGCAGCGCTGGTTTTCCGGTCTTTCCGAACGGTGCTCCCGTTGCCCCACCAGCCTCATCTCCAAATTGGCGGTCCTCCAGCATGGAGTTCCAGCTGCGCCTTTCATGCAGACATGGTGTGCAAACAAATTATATGTGCTGTGCGATGCGCCACTACTATGCAGTTACACGCATTGTTCGTCAATGTTGTGGTGTGCGACGCTGGGCCACGCAGTGTCATGCCGAGCGGTGGCATGCAGTGCAATGTTATGGCTTGCATCTGCAAGCGATGCCACATCTTGCGTTACAAAATGATGGTATGCAACGCTCGGCTGCGCAATACTATGCCATGGTATGCATCGCGGACCTTTTGGGAGGCGTTGCCAGTCTCGGCATCTGAGTGTGAGAATAGAGAGGGCTCTACGTAATGGTAAACGGACTGGAGGGAGGGAGGGCTTGACGTCAGATATGACGCGAGCGCACCTATCTCAATATGAATACTAAACCGACTTAGGACGCTCTTTGGGCGCTTCAGGGCCGTCTTGAAAGCCATCGTAGGCGTCTTGGAGGCCTTTGGAGCCCTCTTGAGGACGTCTCGGGAGCTCTTGGGCCATCATGGGACAATCCGGGAGGCCTCTTGGGCGGTTTGGGGGGCTTCTTGGACCGTCGGAAGGCCGAAAAGAAGTAAATGCCAACGTAATTCAAAAATTTTGATCACTCAATCACTTAGGAGCCCTTCGGGCCTTCCAGGAGGACCCCTTGGAGGCCTCTTGGGTGCCTCTTGGGGGATATTTCGGAGACAGTTCGGGACCATCGTGGCCCTCTTGGGGGTTATCTGAGCCGTCTTAGAGGCCATCTTAGCCCGCATTGAGGGCATCTTGGAGCCATCTCCCTGGGGGAGGCCAAGTTGAGACGGAATTTTCCAGGTCGTTGGCGCAGTAGGCCGAAGGCCATTGGGAGTTTTTCAAAGGACCAGAACATTCGAACGTCCAGCACGCCGTGCACCCTTGTGGCAGGCAACTGGGGGCGGCGGATCGAAAACGCCTTCGGCGAATGACCGCTGCCCCTTTCTTCATAGAGTTCGGCCAAGCTATCGGCCTACGTGTTCCCCCAGCCTTTGCGGAAACCCTTCGGAGAACACGTGGGGGGGAGGACGAGGAGGAGTGAGAGGACAAAGGAGGATGAGGTGGAGGCCTCTTGGGACTTCTTGGGAGCCTCTTGTCGCCTCATTGGAGTTTCTTGGGGGCCTCTCGGATGCCTCTTGGGGGATCCCTTGGGCTTCTTGGGGGCCTTAGGAGACTCATTGTGAGGCTCGTTGGCCGTCTGAAGGCGTTCCTAGCCCGTCCGACGCCGTCGGAAGCCGTCCCGCGAGCTTCCCTGGGCCGATTTGGGGCCCTTTTGGGCCGCTTCAGGGCTGTCTTAGGGGATCATCTTAGGCATCTCGGAGGTCTCCTTGGCCGTCTTGGGGCCCTCTTGGGGCCGTCTTGGAGGCCTCTTGGGCCGTCAGGTAGGCATCTCCCAGGCTTCTTAGGGCGCTCTTAGGACCAACTTGGTGGCTTCTAGGGCCGTCTCGAGCCGTCGGAAAGTCGAATATTTCAAAAACATAAGGGAAAACAGTGATGTTGGTCCCTTCGGGCATTGCCTGAGGTCCTCTTGGAGACCTCTTGAGCCGTCTTGGAGGCCTCTTGGACCGTCTTGGGCAATTTTGAGGCCATCTGGGGGACATCTCGGCCCGTCTTGGAGACATCTTGGGATCGCCGTGGAGGCCATCTTGGAGGCAATGCGGCGGCCATCTTGGCCGTATTGGGACGATTGTGTATGCACGCTGAGGTCTTTGCGCAGTTCTCCGGGTGGTCGGCGGGGTCGGCCGAAGGCCCGCTGTGAACTTTTGAAATAAATCAGAACGACCGAACAATTGGCACGCCGTACACCCTTATAATCCCTCGTGTCGAGCCAACGGGGGTCGGCGGACCGAGTGGCTTTCGGCTCACCCCGCCACCATATTGGGGTCGTGGATACCTCTCGGAGGCCTCTTGGAGAGCTCCTGGGGGCTTCTGGAGGGCCTCTTGGGGGCCTCTGCAAGCTTCCTGGGGGGGGCCTCGTGGGGGCCTCCCGGAGCTCCCCGAGGCCAGCATTAGGGCCTCTGCGTGATGTATTGGGCTGCTCGAGTCTGTGGTGTCCAGGCAGCCGAGGAGGCGCCCAGGAGTGGCCAACTGGACCATTTCAGATCTGTTTGGTCGGGCCCTGTGTGTCAGCTCCCCAGCACGTGTCCAAGCGCACGCATGTAGGAATGAAACGCTAATTACATCATAGCCGTTCTGCACTTGTTGTCCCAGGCTGCCAGCGCATGCGCCGCGACAGTATAGCGGTTGCGAGGTTCCCGGATATGTGACAGACGTGTTTGAGCATGTTTGGGACAACGTCTTGCATGGGTGACCGATACGTCAGACGTGATTGTCCGTCAGCGGCCTCGTAGTGCCCGAGGCAAGTGAGGGCAAGTGAGCAGTCCTTCAGTGGGCGGCCGTGACGAGCGCAAAGAACGTGCCAACATGATTGAAGTTGCCGGAGCAACAATTGCTTGTTTGCAGGTTCGTGGTTTGCCTCGCTAAATATAGCCTTGTTCGAGACACGCTGCAAGCAGGCCAGCTTTACACATGATCTAGCGCACGCATCTCTTCTGGAAACCGTCGAGATTTCACATCTACGCCTTAATCTAAAAAGTGGTACTGAGCCCACACAACAAGTTCGACTCTTTGACTGGTTGTGCAGCTTACGTGGCCAAGTTGATAGAGAGAGCGACCATGCATTATGCAGCGTCATGAAAGAACGCCGCGCTGCGCCGATTCTCCTCCCCAGCTCGTGGTCCATGTTCTCGTTCACTGTCATGCGTGATCCGAGGTACTTCATTTGTTGAGTTTCTTTGAGCGGCGTTCCGTTTGAGGCCCTGATGTCTTCTCCCATCAGTTGCACCAGCAGGATTCGGAACATAGCTAGTGCGAACCCATGCCATACCGTCTGCCTGCAGCCGCCAGTGCTTCCAAGAAGTCGTTGACGTCGCTTTTAGATTTATCCCCTGCATGTCTTCCTTCTCCCCGAAAGATGCAGCACTTTACGGCTGGTCGAAAGATCAGTTGTTGCTAAAGTGTAGGGCGTGTGATTTCTGCCCAGCCGTCCTGGCCTTCAAGCTCGATCATTTGTCTGATTCTTGCAGCAAATGGGTACGCTATTCTTGCCCCATCCTCCTCCCTTTTCTCCTCCTCCATCTTACGGCGCGCATTTGCGCCCATGATAGCAGAGGGCGTTGCCGCATGAGTGTCGTTCTGTTGACAGGGTTGCCAGAACCGCGCATCCCGCCAGCAAGTTGACCACTAGCGAATGATATTTGACACTGCAAGGCGTCTGGCCGACGTGCTCAATCTCCGGACTCTAAACGTGGTGCAAGGCCGCTCATGGAGGGACGTTCACATATTGTCTTCCAGGGTAGCAAGCGATGGTGCAGAAGCGATGCGGTCGAGCGAAGAAGAGCGTGAGCACACGAAATCCCAACGCATTCATATTTGTCGCGTTGCGCAGGGCCATGTTTGTAGCAATATAGCTGGAAGAGTGTGTTGCGTGCTCATACGTCCGAAAGCCAGTGCAGACGACTGCAGCAGCGCAGCTTCCAAGATCTGGATCTCATTGCCAATCAAGACACTTTTATGAGAGGAAGCGGCGTCCTTCAGGCGTTGCTTTTTCGGTGGGCTCCGCTGCACGTGAAGCATAGGAAATCACGCTCTCGAGAACAAGAGGCACTCGTGCACAGGAGGTGGCGCCTCAGCGAGCAAACTTGCCCCTCCCTCCTTACGCCCTCCCCCTTGGAGAGCCCATGGGGGGTAGGGGGGAGGACCATGACGAGGGTCAGGACGAGGACGTCGAAGACTTGGTCAAGGAGGAGAAGTAGGCAGGCGAAGAGGACGATAAGAGTGAGGGGGCCAGCGAGGGGGAGGAGGAGGACGGAGGAGGAGGACCGAGGACGGAGGAGGGGAAGGAGATCTACTAAAATTGCGCCTCGCAGCTGGTCTCCGCCCCGCTGCACAGCGCCTCCCAGAATCGTGCGGACAATTGGTTCCGATATGTCGCGTTGTCGTTCGCGACGGTTGGAGGTCTCGGTGCAATCGGTTCGCCAACCCCTTGGGTCCAAATTTAACCTTCAGACCACTCCAAGGGTGCTTCTCTTGGCATCGCTCGGATGTGAGAATTTTTCTCGGCAAGGACCATCGAAGAGCATTTTGGGTCATCGTGTGAAACAGTACACGCACGAGTCCGAAACATGCGCGGGGAATTGACTTCCGAGCGATGGCCAGTTCTGAGTATAACGTCAAAGGGGAACCCAGCCATGTGGGCGAGAAGCCTCCCAGAGGTTCAAGAAGGACGAAACATTTTAAAGCATTCTGGTCCTCGGACCTCGCGCCTCTCTCTCCGTCGTCGTTGGTTCGCACCCCCCCTGTCGCTCAGCTGTCTTGATACGCCCGTTTTGAAACGCAACACGTACTGTGCTCAAAACGTCAGTGTCAATACGTTGCGTGTTGGCTCAACGTATTGGCCCACGTTTGGGAGAACGTATCGCGTCAGATCTACATGCTCAGTCTACGTGTTGAGTTCCGTATTACTGCGCTGCGTATTGCGTATCGGAGGAGTTGAGCCCCGTCGTCGCTAATCACCTGTTCATCCTCCCTCCAAGATTCCAGAGCAAACAGAGCCGAAGCGACGAGGCTAGTCTCGTTCGGAGAGCCGCCCGACGATACCAGAGGGTGGATGAGGAGGAGGAGGAGGAGGAGGAGGAGGAGGAGGCGGAGGAGGAGGGGGGCGCGTTCGACGAACCCTCAGGCCGTCAGGAACCAGGAACCAGGAGGAAGGGGGGGCGGCGAGAGGAGTGCAGCCAGAGCGAGGAGCAGGATAATCAGGGGAAGACAAGATATCGATGCCGGCACCCCCCTCCCAGTTTGCGCTTTGGGCGTCCTGGAGAGCCCCCCTCGGCACGGTCAGAGTCGCCTCCGGGTCCTGGTCAGAACGCACCCTAGCAGGAGGTTTTGAGAGCAGCGGTACGGAGGGGGAGGAGGAGGAGGAGGGGGAGGAGGAGGAGGAGAACCAAGACTTCCAACACATCGACAGAGCCAGGACTTGATGCCCCTGCGGTTCTCAACGCCCTGGCAGGGGGCCAGCTCGCGAGCCTCAGGACCATCAGGGAACGACTCGGGATGAAAAATTGGTCCTGGGGAATGGGTCGATGGTTTTGGCCGCTGGCCTTGTGTTTTTTATACGGAAAATTCGTCGAAGGTCTGGGAAGGCGGAGGGAGGAGGGGAAAGTTCGTGTTGCAAGGTAATCACGACTTTGGGGACCGCATTTGAAGGGCTTTTCTATTGGATTCCAGAAGGTTCCTGGAGGGTATAGGGAGGAGGAGGGACCAAGAAGAGGAGGAGGAGGAGGAGGGGGAAAAAGGGAGGAGCAGGCAAGGGAAGCCCATGAATGAGAGAGTTGCCATGCGGCTAGCAGCAGCAATCCTTCGATCACCAGGTCTTCTTCTGTCTGGGACGGCACTCTGGAGAAGGATTTGGACCAGCCGTTGCACGTTTTGTCTTCTCCAACAGGCGCATTCGGTAGCACGTGCGACGCCAGGTCACACGTAGTACCTACGTTCTGCTTGATTTCACTCACAGTTGAGCCCATAATTCATCAGTCCCCTCGTGCTTTGGATCGCCACGCCTTCAGCAGCTTCCATGAGAAATCAAGTCCCTCCCTTTTTTCTGTCGCGCACTTGCACGATACATTCTGCACAAGGATGGCCCAGCGTTTGTTGAATACTCTGCCAGGACGTTGGCCTAGGCTTCGCGGATCAATAGCACATTAAGGGTAGTTCGAGTTGGAATCAATTGTGAGGCGGACTGTCGCACACAGTTTGGTGCACTTGGCGCCGCCGCCAGGCTATTCACGTTCCGAGGGCTCACGAAGCAGGACAGTGTCTGGGAGGGCAGGCAGCAGCGAGAGATACATGTAGTGCGCGCAGCCTTTGCCAGCGAGTTGGGAAGGAAGTGGGCGATGACGAGGGCCGTGCTGTTCGTGCCCCGCTGGGGGCTAGGGGGACAAAGCAATAAGCAAATCGAGCCAGACCATGCCCACGACCATCCGAGGTGAATGGACTGAGTTGCACAGTCGCATGCGAGCGTTTCGAGATCCATGGTCCTCTTCCTCGCCTCCTCCTCCTCCTCCTCCTCCTCCTCCTCCTGCTCCTCCTCCTCCTGCTCCTCCTCCTCCTCCTCCTCCTCCTCCCTCCTCCTCTGCATAGTTCAGATTTGGCCAGGGTCTGCCTGATCGTGTATGGGGCCTCGGGGCCGCCAGATGGAGCGCGACCATCAATGGGCGAGGACGGCAGCAGCCTGGCAGATGCATGTTGGTAGGAGGAGGAGGAGGAGGAGGAGGAGGAGGAGGAGGAGGAGGAGAGGGTGGTGGGGGGCAGGAGGAGGAGTGCAAGTGGGCCTGGCGCAAAAGCAATGCGGGTGCTTTTGCAGATGTTGGTTCCCAACCGTCTGCTTGGCCCAGCGTTACCTCTGAAGGAGTGAAGAAACAGAGGAGGAGGAGGAGGAAGAGGAGGAAGAGTGGGGAAGGGAAAGGGCGAGCGGGGCGGGAAGGAAGATGGAGGGCAGGCACGAGGAGGAGCACGAAGAGGAATAGGGGACGGAGGGAAAAGGAGGAGGGAGGGAGGGATGAAGGGAAGGGAGGAAAAGAGGAGGAGGAGGAAGAGAACGAGCGGACGAACGGATTGGCGGCCGCGGGATGGCGACGCAGGCATGTACCTTCGTTTTATGCTCAAGCGTTGTGTTCATTTTGCCTCATTGTTTTGGTCTGGGCGCATGCATTTTGAGAGATATGCGCAGGGTAGTTTATGGCCTGGCATTGTTCAGGTTTTGGTGGCAGGTTGGTCAGGTGTTCTGGAGCCATCGTCGCATACTGCTTGTGGTGGACATTTTACGCGTGAGGTGGCACGGTGTCCCGCAGCAGGTAATTGAAGGTCTGATTCGTATGTCCGACTCGCATCGTTTGCGCATGCACACGCGTGTCTGTCAGTCACCTCGATGTATAAGAGCCTCATGTTTGTAACCGACATGGTCGAAATATTCATAGCTCCATGGCTCCTCCTCCTCCTCCTCCTCCTCCTCCTCCTCCTCCTCCTCCTCCTCCTTCAGTGCGTGGATACGCACGGTGGAGGCCAGTTTCGCCTCGCACCACGGCCAGGCCAATCTTGGGCGCTCTCGAGCAGAGGGGGCCAAGTTTCGTACCGACACGGTCTTAGAGGCGACGCCAGCCAGATTGACGCCGCTGCGGGATCGCATCAGTGGATGGTGGACCAGAGTCCATGTGGTTCTGGATACATATTCCAAGCATAGAGTGAAGAATTACGGGGCCAAGCAGCAGCAGATGTTGTTAGCCACGTGTGACAAGTTGAGTCAAGAAGCTCCTGAGCAGGGGCATCAGGTCATTCGGCCTAGGGACGGCATTTCTTGGAGCGCTTGGGTACAGCTGCTGTCGTCGGTGGCATCCTTGAGCGAGCAGGAGTTGTCGGAGGCAGTCAAGTTTAGTGAACGCGTTTCTCAGAGAAGCCAGCGACGAGCAGTCAACCAGTCGATCGCTGAGTTTCGAGAATGGACAGAGTCTCAGAATGCAGTATCGGCCCTTCATCGTGCTATCAGGGAGTCGCCGCAGATTCCACATGAGTACGTAGACGGAGATAAGGCCATACAGCACCCGCGGGACATCATGGATCGCAAGAGTGTCAAGTTTCAGGAGTTATGGGCCCCAGAGGGCCAGCAGCTGGATGGGCTTCACAAGCTGTTCGCGGACATTCGTGCACGCGTCGCAGATGAACCTCTACCTCCCCTGTCTGGCGAGATGCTTCGAGCTGCAGGTCGACAGATGAAGCAGACGTCGGCCATGGGCGTCGATCGTCTCACGGCGCTGGACACCGATCGGCTTCCCGACACGGCGCTCGAGGAGTTGGCGGCGATCCTGGCAGCCTGTGAAAGTTGCCAGGCTTGGCCGCATCAGCTGCTGCTGACGATCGGCACCTTGTTGCCGAAGAAGATCGCTGGCGACAGGGTCATCGGACTGCTGCCCCACATAGCGCGGCTATGGTCCATGACTAGAGAACCGTGGGTGCGCTCGTGGTCAGACGACTGCGAGGCACCGTGGGACGCCGCGATACGTGGCAACGCGGCGCTGCAGGAGGCGTTCATCCGAGTGGTGGACGAGGAGCTGGCTGCGAGGCTAGGCGTGGCCCATGGCCACGGTTTGCTGGACATCGCCAGCTACTACGACACGATCGGGTGGCTGCGGCTCGGCGAGGCGGCACTGCGGCTGGAATTCCCAGCCGAGGTGCTGGGGCTGGAGCTGCTGCAGTGCATGTCGGCGCGGTGCCTCCGACAGGCAGGAGCCTACTCAGAGGCCTTCTGCCCCGAGGTCGGTGGTCCAAGGCCTCCGATCAGGCACTCGTTTCGCCAAGGTGGTCACATTTTTTATCATGCAGAAGATTACCACAACTCACGTGCATCTTTCACATCGGTTGTGGATCGACGATTTGAGTCAGGTATCCAAAGGGTCACGACGAGCAGTTCGTGATAGGCTAGTGGCATGTTTGAAGGAGACCTGCCAGATGATGCAACACGACGGCCTCAAGATCTCCCCGAAAAGCGTGGTGGTGTGCACCAAGCTTGCGGACGCCAAGGAGGTTGTGAGGAGGCTCAAGGTGGCGGGCTTTTCTGTGACGGCAGCGGCGCAGACCCCATATCTAGGGGTTGACGTCGGCGGAGGACGGCGCCACGTTCGCGCCACCAAGACGGTGCGAGCAGCTCGCCATCAGAAGATGCACACGAAGGTTTTGAAGTATGCACGCACAGCGCGTCGCTATCGGCTTACAGCTAGGCTGGAGCAGCAAGGAGCGGCAGCGGCAGGAGCGTACGCACATCAAGTTCACGGCATGTTTGGACATCGCATGCGGCAGATGAGGACCTTCTTGTGCGACGCCTCTAGCCCTAGGCTCACAGGGCGGTGCGTCACCACGCTGCTGGACCTTCTTGCACCAGGGCGTGACCCTGCCTGTCGCTTGCCGAGGGAGTGTTTACAGATGTGGGTTCGGACATGGGTTTCGCAACCGGCGCTGCGCAGCGGGATCGAGCGAACTTGGACATCTTTGGCCCAAGAATTTCGTTCCATGCCGCCACAGCTGCGCAGCCGCCACATACGCGGACCCCAAGCAGCAGTTATCAACTATCTCTTGCAGGAAGGATGGGAGCCAGAGGGTCCATCAGATTGGCGAGTACAAGACGATGGATCAGGGCTCCAGCACAACTGGCAATTCAACCCTGAGGCTTTCACGGGCTTCGAGCAGGTGGACGTGCCGAAGGCTTTCCTGCAGGAGTACGAGGGCGCCGTGATGCAGAGGCTTTGGCGGCAGGCAGCCTTGCATTTTGACGGAGGCGGCATGGAAGGAGGGATCTGCAATCCCTCCTTGCGGGCCCTTCTTCGGCAGCTCGAGGAGGGGCCCAACGGCAAGCAGTTGGCTGGGCTACTCCTGTCGGCAGCAGCGGGAGCAGCATGGCCACGGGAGCGCAGGTCAGAGAAATCCAAGTTGCCGATATCCCAGATTTGTGCACGGTGTCGAGCAGAGCGGGAGACCTCTTTCCACCGCATTTGGAGCTGTTCTAAGTGTGTAGATCATGATATATATCGTGTGTCAGACGAATATACACCCAGAGCACATTCACAGTATGAAGTTGAACCGTGGTTCTGGCACCGAGGTTTGCTGCCGCAGTCCTGGGTAGCCGTCCCGCCCCCACAAGAGGAGGCAGATTGGTGGTCTGAGGGAGTCGAGGTTTTCGAAGATAACTGCTTCGGCGTGGGCTCTCCGTTGGCCCCCCTGTGCCTTTTCGGGGGCGCGAGCGGGGGCGAAGATACTTCCGATCCCAGGCTCCGTAGAGTAGGATGTGGAATTGCACAGTATTCTGACATTTCAGATAATATGCAGCTTGTTGCTTCAGTTTGGGGAGGCCTCCCAGGTCCTGTCCAGACAGTTGCCAGGGGTGAACTTTTCAGTTTCTTGTCAGCGCTGATCGGCGCTGATGGCGTCACGCTCTATACCACAGATAATTCCAGCGCGTGCTCAGGATGGCATTGCGGGCGGGCCTTCGCCCCAGAGGGGGAGAACGCGGACCTTTGGTATCAGGTAGGTCAGGTGCTCAAACGAAAACCGACCTTATCTTGCACGGTCCTTTTTGTTCACTCCCACCAGGAGGCCCGAGATGCACTCCAGGGTAAAGCACCTCTGTATTTGACGGTAGGTAATGCAGCTGCTGACAAGTTGGCCGAGGCAGCGGCTCGTTTAGTACGCATCCCAGCCTCTGATAGATCGAAAGTTTTCCTGAATGAGAAGATGGCTTTCGCCGTCCGCATGCGAATTTTACTGGCCACAGTCGAGACTTTAAAAGCCGAGGCCGCCCTGGCGGCCGAAGAGCCCCGAGGAACCCGTGTCAGGAATCCAGGGCCCAGGCCACCAGCGCCTCTGGTTTGTAAAGAGTTTTCGACCCTGCATACGCTGTCCGAAAACGGTCTATCTTGTTTGAAGTGTAGGAGCTCCACCACTAAAGCTATGCGCAAGTTTTGGTTGGAAACCCCGTGCTTTGACCTGAGGGCTATAGATGGCGTTTTGCTCAGACCGCCCCCCCGTTGCAGGGTGCACATCTGTGGGGGGTGGGCTGACGACAGTCACACGTTACAGTTTCACGCTGGGCTGGGGATTTGGTTCTGTGGCACTTGTGGAAGTTTTGCGGCCCAACAGTTGGCCCAACTCGGAAAGAGGTGCGATGGCAGAGCCACAGGTAATCGTGCTGATTATTTAAAGAATATTGAACGGGGGATCTGGCCTAAAGCTTATAGCAAAGCTGACAAGGCCAGAAGAGCGGCTC